GTAACTGATTTTTTACTGTTTAATTAAAATAAAAATTTGTTTAAATGAAAACAATATTTATCTTAATTAAACAAACATTCGTTTGATTTTATATATATATATATATATATATATATATCTCAATTAAATATTTATTTGATCCAAGCAATTTTTTTTTGTGTATTTGTGTATTAATCTTCATTCAGATGTTCTTTTTTTAATTAAAATATAATTATCACATTATTTGTAATATATATATATATATATATATATATATATATATATATATATATATATATATATATTAGGGTGGTCCTTAAAAAACAAATTTTCGAATTTTAAAGTTCGTAACCCCTCATTTTGTTAAGCATGGAAAAATAAGAGACACGTATTTTTTTTTTTTTTTTTAAATTAATATTTAATGGTGCCTCATCGCACTTGAATTTTTACATGCATTTTGCATGGGGAAAAAACGTTTTTTCGTAGATTTGCTATGAAATGATGAAAAATGAATATTTTTTTATTGGACCACTTTGTTTTTCTTCATTTATGTTCAAAGAATAAGATCCAATAATTTATTTATGAATTTTTAATAACAAATATTTTTTAAACAGCCCCTAAAAACCCTCAAAAAATGCAAAATCAGGGAAAAATCGTTAAAAAATGTTTATTAATATTTTTTATAGTCTTTTTTGCAAGATTTTTTATTTACAAATTGAACAAATACTATTAATCGTATTTTTCAATAATTTGCAATTTGTTTAAACAATATATTGTTGTTACTGTAAAATTGTTGTTAAAAATATCTGGAAAATGATGTTTTTTTTAATTTTATAACTTTTATTGACATGAACTGCAATAAATAACAGTTTATTTAAAAAAATGTCAACAAAAATTGTTTAAACAAATTATTTTTGTTATTTTAAAACTAGTGTTTAAATGTATCTACAAAGTTGCTCTTCCCCCTTAATTTTGCAAGTAGTTCTGCTGTTTACAATTGCAATAGTATCTTAAATTTTAAACTTCATTTTCGACAATTGTTTAAACAATTTAATTTTTTAATCAATTAAATACTTTTATATTTTCTAAAATACATACAGTGCGAATTATTAACTGCGGCCCAGCCTAATTCTGACAGTATAGTTTTATTTATAATGTTGCAAGTCGATGTGCTACGACAAGTTTAGACGGGTTTGTTCAGGTAGCACATCGACTTGCAACATTATAAATAAAACTATACTGTCAGAATTAGGCTGGGCCGCAGTTAATAATTCGCACTGTATGTATTTTAGAAAATATAAAAGTATTTAATTGATTAAAAAATTAAATTGTTTAAACAATTGTCGAAAATGAAGTTTGAAATTTAAGATACTATTGCAATTGTAAACAGCAGAACTACTTGCAAAATTAAGGGGGAAGAGCAACTTTGTAGATACATTTAAACACTAGTTTTAAAATAACAAAAATAATTTGTTTAAACAATTTTTGTTGACATTTTTTTAAATAAACTGTTATTTATTGCAGTTCATGTCAATAAAAGTTATAAAATTAAAAAAAACATCATTTTCCAGATATTTTTAACAACAATTTTACAGTAACAACAATATATTGTTTAAACAAATTGCAAATTATTGAAAAATACGATTAATAGTATTTGTTCAATTTGTAAATAAAAAATCTTGCAAAAAAGACTATAAAAAATATTAATAAACATTTTTTAACGATTTTTCCCTGATTTTGCATTTTTTGAGGGTTTTTAGGGGCTGTTTAAAAAATATTTGTTATTAAAAATTCATAAATAAATTATTGGATCTTATTCTTTGAACATAAATGAAGAAAAATAAAGTGGTCCAATAAAAAAATATTCATTTTTCATCATTTCATAGCAAATCTACGAAAAAACGTTTTTTCCCCATGCAAAATGCATGTAAAAATTCAAGTGCGATGAGGCACCATTAAATATTAATTTAAAAAAAAAAAAAAAAATACGTGTCTCTTATTTTTCCATGCTTAACAAAATGAGGGGTTACGAACTTTAAAATTCGAAAATTTGTTTTTTAAGGACCACCCTAATATATATATATTAAATTAAGAAATATTATATTTAAATTTTATTTTGTGGTTATTTTATAATTATTATTATTATTTTAATTTATCACTCGGTGGTATTTAATAACATTGTCCGACATTGATTTTGCCCTGGTATCAGTAACATTTCACTGATTTTCAGTCAAAGTAATTGATTCTCCACTGAAATGTCACTAACTGTCAGTGAAAACCACTGATTAAAATAGCTATAATTTAGCGACTGATTTAAGACCAGTGACTTTTTCACTGATTCATATTTAGAGAGTTTTTAAAACTAGATTAAATGTATTAAATAAATATTTATAATTAAATTAAAAAGTAACCTGCAAATTGTATAATTTTTTTAAAATTTGAATGGTGATGCATTCATTTGTTTATCACTTGTTTCTCACAAAATTATTGTTGTCCCATTTTCATATTTACATAGCTCATGGGAAAAAACCTCAGCTTTCCAATGAAAATAAAATAAAAAAAAAAATACCCGAAGGGGTGAAAATCGAAAAATAAGGGTTGATTTTGAAAAAAAGGGGTCAAAAAATTTTTTTTTTAAATTTCATATACATTTTTGAAAAGTACGTGAAAAATGAATTAAAATTCATTATGGATAAATTAAAATCCATTAACTTTTGTCATAATTATACGGATTTGAAAATGACAATGTTACCCTTAACGTCAAAACTTCAATCCCCTCTACTTTCTACAAATATTTTTTTAATGAGTTTATATTTTAGGGATTTATTACTATCATATAGGACAACAATTTACCAAAGTATGAAGCCAATCCCAGAACATTGACTTTTTGGGCTGGGGCGATTGAAAAAGAATCTCTCATATACAAAGATAGTCAAAAACATGCTTTTTTGACTTTTCAACACTAATTTTCTCAAAAACTAGACGTGCTAGAGCATTTTTCTTGGTAGATTCGGAATCAGCGTGAAAAAATCTATCGAAAGTAATCAGTATTATCCCATGGGCAGAAAAAAATCATTTTTGTCGGACAGTGTAATAAATTGATGTTTATACATCAATTTATCATCAATTTAATATTATATGATTATTTTATTATTATGACTAAAATGAGGAGAAATTTGCTAAAGTTGAAACATAAATATGAAAAACAGTCAACTTTTTTATTCATTGTGTCCAGCATATAGTGAAATAACAATTTTAAAGGGGAGCGTGAAAAAGTGTCGCTTATATTGGAGGGCAGCAAAAGTTTGATCGAAAATTGTCAAGTTGAACAAAAGACGTAACAAAACTTTATTTATGATGAAGAGAGAATGTGGTTGTGGCATGGGAACGACGATGGCCGTTGGATAGTTTTGGTTCGAGAGCTCTCTTTGGAGGAGCAAAAAGTCGACCAATTATATATAAAAACAATAAAACAGAAATAGTCCTGCGGTTATGCGAGGTTGCTTGGGTTATATCTTCTCTCATCTTTCGCGCAACGAAGAGGCAAGGGACGAACAAAACTCTTGAGGACGATTTTATAGCTGTTGGTCGTAAATTCCTTCTGGCAGCCTCGGTGATCTTTTCTCTAATTGTACCCCGATTATAGAATGACGCTACGGACATAACGCGTGATCGCAGCTCGCGTCTGCACTCAAACTTACAAAAACGTTATTCTTATATTTTCTCCCCACATTCATAAATAAATAGAAAAAAAGGCATTCGATTTGATGACGCAGGCTATTGTCTATTGTGAGTGTGAGTTGAGATAATTTTTTTTTTTTTTAATGAAAAATAGATTTTTGTATTTTAATTATGAAATTTTTGCTAAAGTACTTTCTATTACTTCCTGAATTCCAAAATAACAAAAATTCGAAATGTCTGACTAAAGTCAACATTTTATACTGATACTAAAATTTAGCTGGTCTGACTGAAAGTAACTTTTACTACTGTCAACAAAAAATTACTAAAATTCAAAAGGTCTTACTGAAAATGTATATTTTTTTACTATTACTAAAATTACTAGAATTGGACATATTTGACTGAAATTGACATTTACTATACTGATACCAAAAATATTTTTCAAAAGTATTTTTTAAACATTTTTTAAAAATATATTTGTTTAAAAAAAATCGTGTTCAAAACATTTTTAAAAATACCTTTCTCCTCTAATTTTAAACAACTCTACATTGAAAAAAAGTATATAAAAGACGAAGAGGTATTATTTAATTTTTGCATTCTCAATTTCAATAATCAACAGACGAGTATTTGTTTTGCCTTCTCAAGAAGCAAAGCGTACAATCATTGCTTGGCAAATAACGTCGTTTCCAACCTGACGAGTGGGAGCAAATCGTTCAATGTTTGATTTAGATTCAACTGTGTTGGCTGGGCTTAGAATCAACATTTAAAAGCCTTTCGTTTGCCACCCGGCCAATTATACACTTTTGCTTCTCTTTGGGCCAGCACCAGTTTTCTTTTCGTCTCACTGCGAACCCCTCCATTTTCTATATAGACCCCGACCCTTTTTTTTCTATATACCAATTACGTATATTTGCTCTTTGGAGACGACGAATTAACCGATTAATGATTTAACTTTGTTTTAAATAGAGAAGAAAATACAAATACCTTGACGACAATAATAAATCGATTTTTTCAGTTATCTATAAACGTATAACAAATATGTTATTTTTTTTATTTCATAATTTTATGTAAATTTCAAAGTTTTCAAAAATTTCTCGATCCTAATATTAATTTTTAATACATATTTTTTTATATTAAATTTATAGACTGGAAAAAAATTATTTCATACAAATAATCGCTTACTTGAATATTATTAAATAAATATTTACTTGAACCAAATAATTTTTTTTTTAAATAAAGTAGTTAATAAAAAATTTGAAACAAAATTGGTGAATTTTTTTTAAATTGACTTTTTTTATAATTAAAATGAGGAAATAATATATGAAAAAGTATATTATTCTCACCTAAAGCGCCGGCTGCAAGTCTCATGGTTAAATCGGAACCGGTGACTTCTGAAAGTTTCCTTTTTCTTGGACGGCCCTTTTGTGTTGAGCCACTTGATGCAATGGGACTCTGTTCAGCTGCACTGTAATATCCCGGAAGAGGTGACACCCCCGGTGATCCAATGTCTTCGACACTGCCTGATGTACTTCCATAATCCGTAGCGCAGCAAATTAACTCGTAATGAGGTCTTTGAGCAAAAACAAATTGATCATTAATTTTACATTAGGAGTTAATATAAATTTTGCCAAAAAAAAATTAAGTATATGAACAATTTTTAATTATTATAATAAAATTAATTATCACTAGTTTAATTAATTACAATATTATTTAATTAAATTTATTTATATTAGCATTACTAATTTATTATATAGATGTTGAGGTCATTTACAACTTTATTATTTAATATAATTTATGCACCCATGAGAAAAGATAATCTCAGAGCCAAATAAATATATCTATATTTGTTTCAAATAAAGTTTATTTAGTTTAAATAAATTCTATTTGCTCTCTAAAACTGAATTAGTAAAATTTAAATTTATTAGTAAGTTTTACTAAAATTAGTAAAATTTAACTAATTCTGAAGCAAAAAGTGAGTCACTAATTTAAATTAGTAAACATTTTTACTAATTCAGAATTAGAGAGTGATTCAAATAAATTTTATTTGTCTCAAATAAACGAAATTTAAAAAAAAATTTCCAATGTACAATTAAAAAATTTCCAATTACTTTTAACATGTAAAGACAAAACAAAACCTTAATTTTTTTTATTGAAGAAAGAAAAAAGTGTAACTTTTATTTCTGAAAAAATTCTCCAGTAAAATGATTTTTTTTCTCTTGAATAAAGTTTTCAGATAGGCGAAATGTTGTGATTTGACGTGTATATGTGTGTATATAGATATATGTCCTCGTTAGGAAATCTCGTTTGTAAATATCAAACACTTGAATATAGAGGAAACAATAGATGATATGTTTGGATATATCGATTCTTCTGTTCTCACCTACAATAAACGAGGCCATCCTTCTGTCCAAAATGGTCGCCCTTGTTAAGAGGGGTGCCACACGATGCGCACGTGAAACAAGCCACGTGATAAACTAGATCTCGTGCTCGCATCACCAATTCCGAAGCGGAAATGCCAGCTTGACATCGGGAACATCTCGAAACAGCAAAGAGTCTGCAATGTGTTTTTTTTCTTTCATAAATTTCATTGCTACCTTTTTTTTCTGTGAATTGAAAATTTCTCTTGTCTCTTTTTTTCTCTCTTTATTTTCTATTAATTTAATTACCTTTCTTGTTTAATTTTCATTTTCAATTTTTTTTTAAATTTAAAAACAATGTATTTTTCTATTATTTTTTCTTTAATATTTAATTTTATGGCCAACAAGCAATATAATTTACAAAAATAAGAAATACTTTAATAAATATTTAACATTATTTGGTGCGTGTCAAGAGTTGATTCCCCCTTCAGAAATTTATTCTACAAAAAAAGAAAGATAAATATAATGACTGATTGCTAATTTTTGTTTCATTGTATTATTTGGTAAATTGTTCTTTATTTTAAATTATTTATATTGTTTCATTGTTAATTTATTTTTTCTTATTAATTTTTGTCTCATATTAATTTAATTTCTTTGTATTTTTGTTTGTTGCTTTTAATTGATTTTGTTTTAAATAATTTTTATGTATATTATGAAGAGGAAATCAGTATGATTTCGAAATGTTGGAGGGAATTTTATTAAAATCTATTTGTCCGAATGTTACCGTTTTCGTTATTTGACCTATTCGAATTAAAAGTTATCTTTTAATCAGAATATTTTCAAATAAAGAAAAAAATATTGTCTCATTTTTCAGAAGAATATTCATAAATTGAAAATAAAATGTAAAATTAATTTTTGAACGGAATTTGAGATTTTATTTTTTCGGTGTAGCTGTCGTGGAATAATTAAAAAAATTTTAATTATTGTAATAGAAAAAAAATAGTTGAAATATTATATGAGACTTTTGATGTAAATTAAATGATTTCAGAAAAAAAAATTTAATCTTATTTTGTTTCGTAACATAAAACAAAGAAGGGCGATCTAAATGTATAATTTACTATTCTTTAAATTTGAAAAAAAAATTTTTTTTTCTTCTGTCATTGAAATATTAAGTTGTATACGATCAACCCACACTCTGGGCCTTTCATTATTCCATCAAAGCGTATCTCCATCCAGAGCTCATTGTTCCTTTTTAGCATGCAATTAATTACAAACTTCTTTGATACAACTTTAATGACGTCTTAATTCCGTTGATGATAATTAACGACCTGTAGGCCCTAGACTGACCACTAAAGTCCTTCCCTTTCATCCATTGGCAATATATATATATATATATAGTACAACACACGTTTTAATAGAGTTCGCTGGACATGCGACGTGTGTTTAATGCGAGTCACAGAATTTTTGTTGTTCTTTTTTCATAAGATGAAATCGTGTATATATCTTAATCTTATAATATAACACAGGACCTTTGATTTATGTGCACGCGATGTTTTATAAGTGGACATATAAAATTCTTCTCCACAAACTGTGCGCAAATATCCGGGAGAGAGAGAAAGAGAACTTCCCACATTTCAATAGAGTTCTAGTCTACCAAAAATGGGAGACAATGCCAGTTTCTTCGTGCGGATACATTTTCATATATGCAAGTCGATAATAAAAGAGAAAATAGAGAGAAAGAAAGAGAGAGAGAGAATAGAGAGGAATAAAAACGAAAGAAGAGAGAATTAGAAAAAACGACAGTATAAGAAAGAGAAAGGAATACAAAGAGAGAAATAGAAAAAAAAGAGTGAAAGACTATAGGAAGAAGAGAGGGATAGAGGAAAGTTAGTTTGAAATTCTATCGGGAGCGCGAGATCAAGATAAATCATAGACAAGGCGAGGTAAGGAGCATACATTGCTGCTGTATATATATTGCAACGGTTAGTGAAACGCAAAACTTAAAAACAAAGGGATTGCCATGGGCCTGAATCTAGCGTCGTTGCATCGTATTGTTGCATATTGCATGCACGGTCGTTGTTTTCTCCCCTAACGAACCAGAACTTACAAAGATACCGGACGCTTCCTTCCCTCTCGCGTTTGGATATCGCTCAGGCACTGTCCACCATTGTATATTTATATATAAATATACACACACCACGATTTATCGATCTTTGATGTTACAACTACATTTTCTTTTTATAATTCTCCCTCTCTCTTTTTTTTAAATATTTTTTTTTTATCATAAATTCTCCAGTTTTTATATTCAGTGACCGTGACGAAAACCCAAACAATGTAATTCTTCCAGAAAAGAAAGAAAAGATGATTTCCAAATATAATGGCAAAAAGTCAAATCCTTGAATACTTGCACGGAGAGAAATAAATGGTAAGAACTTATGATCTTAAGGCCAGGTCCAAGTGAGGCAGCGCCATCTACATTGATACTAAAATTTTGGAAAATTTTCAACAGCCTTTTCTTGAAAACAAGATGGTAAAATGCTTTTTCCTTTATAGATAATTGATTATTGGCAAGATATACACCAGCTAAAACTTTTTTTGAGTTAAAATAATAAAAAAAATTTCATGTCTATAAATTAAATATGAGCACTTTTTTCACAAAAACTGTAACGGGTACTTTCTCAGAAATTACAATCAAAAATGCAATTTTCATTTGGAAAATTAATAAACGCTAAAAAATACACGACCTAAGATTTACCAATCACGAAAATAAGAAAAAAAAATTTTATTAAATATTTAACATATTGATACTGCTTTACTGATTGTGACAGCCCTTTGGTAGATTATGTATTTCAGGTGGTTAGCAACAGCGCCAATCTCCTCCTTTCGGCAAAACTGCGAAACGTCTGGTGACATATATAACCTGCCAAACGGCTGTCATAATGAGTAAAATATGTTATGTTAAAATACTTTTTTTTTGTTATTTTCGTGATTGGTAAATCTTAGGTCGTGTATTTTTTAGCGTTTATTAATTTTCCAAATGAAAATTGCATTTTTGATTGTAATTTCTGAGAAAGTACCCGTTACAGTTTTTGTGAAAAAAGTGCTCATATTTTATTTATTGACATGAAATTTTTTTTATTATTTTAACTCAAAAAAAGTTTTAGCTGGTGTATATCTTGCCAATAATCAATTATCCATAAAGGAAACAGCATTTTACCTTCTTGTTTTCAAGAAAAGGCTGTTGAAAATTTTCCAAAATTTTAGTTTCAATGTAGATGGCGCTGCCTCACTTGGACCTGGCCTTAAGATGGTTAAAAGTAGATGTTATCCGATACTATCAAAGATGTTACAAAAAGTATGGTTATGTTACCCACTACAATCAAGATGTTACTCCGTACAATCTGGATAGTAACTGATAGAATATAGATTGCTGTCCGTATATGTAAGACCAAATATGGTACCTGGTAATATCTAGATAGTACCCCGTACTATCTATTTCTCTCCGTGTGGATGAGTTCTTCTTGATGTAGAAACTTTTTAACACTTGACACAGAGATTCTTCTAAGTTTAACTTGAGTATAAAATTGGACAGAGTAACAATACTTCTACAAGATTTCATATATAAACTTGATGTGCTGGTACCAAAATCTGAACTGAACTCTTCTGGCATATGTGCTCCTTTTATATCGTTGTAAATTAGTGTGACTTCCCTTTGAAGTAACAAGAATCAAGGTGATAAAATAAGAATAATAGGAAAAAGCTCTGTGAACAATATACAAAAAGCTGTTTGACAGTTATTTCCTATCTTAAAAACGAAACGTGTAATTGCCTAACTTCAAGTGTAGACACCTATCCTTATTGGTAGAATTCAAAATTGTGAGTTGTGATTGGTTAATTTTTTTAATTGGAAAATAAAATTAAATATTTTTGCTTCCTCTGGAGGAAGCTATGTAGTCCTTCAAATTATGAAATTATTAGAAATGCACCAAACAAATTTTTTTCTATTTATAAATGTCATATATAAGTCCCTGATCAATTGTCCGGATGTATGTATGTGTGTGTGTGTGTGTATGTGTGTGTGTGTGGATCCATTTTTTTGTGAACACGATAACTTTAATACGTTTTAACGGATTTGGCTAAAATTTGGTACGTATATTTGTCACATCAATATCTCAAAATGGACACAATGATTTTAGAAAATACCCACAAAAAAAATTTTTTTGGCATTTTTTCAAAAAAATCGATTTTAATCGAAAAAATTTATTGAAAGCAAAATTAAAGGCAATACATAGTAAAATCGTATTCCTCATATCAAGACGAATCGATTGGTATATATAAAGTTTATATTTCATTGAAATTTAAAGAATAAATTAAAAAATTCAAAATTCAAAAATTCATATTTTAGTTAAAAAAGTTTTTGTGAACACGATATCGTTAATACGTTTTTTATTGATTTGGCTAAAATTCGGTATGTACATTTGTCACATTAATATCTCAAAATGAACACAACAATTTTAGAAAGTACCCCCTAAAAAAAAATTTTTTTTTACTTTTTTTCAAAAAATCGATTTTAATAAAAAAATTGTTTCAAAGCTAAAATAAAGGTAATACATATAATAATCTTATTCCTTACGTCAAAAGAAACTGATTGGTATATATATAATATATTCAATTATTTATTGTAGATAATAATAAAAAACCTTTATTCAAAAATTAAATATTCAGAAATAAAAAAATAAAAATTATAAACAGAAATTTAATATTGCTTCAAATGTAATGTTTTATTTTATTTACCCATGTTTTATTTTCAAGAAAAATCCTGTTGAAAAATCCTGAGCCGAATTTTTTAATAGTAATATAATTTGATTTTATAATATTATTATTATTTTATTTTTTATTACTATTTTTTAATTTTTATAAATAAAGCATATTTGCCATTTACAATGTGCAGAAAAGGTTAAATGATTATACGTTGACAAACCGATTGTTTTTTTTTTATCTTCTATCTATATATTTTTTTCAAAATTAAATTGTATTACTTCTTGTTTATTAAAAAATTAGGGTCAAGATTTTTCAAAAGGATTTTTGTTGAAAATAAAACATGGGTAAATAAAATAAAACATTACATTTATTATTACATTATTATTATCTACAATAAATAATTGAATTTTTCAGTGTTTGAATTTATAACAAATTT